CATAGCTTCCCTGAACACGCCAGGACACAGCTTGGCTTTAAAATGGCTTCTTGTCTGAATATTTTGAGAGTCTAAGAGATGGAGCCTAGAGCATAGCTTCCCTGAACACTCCAGGATACACCTCAGCTTTAAAAATCCATCTTTTTATTATTTAATCTGCTGTAGGACATGTGCACTCACCAGAGAGAGTGAGTGAATGAGAAAGCAAGCCACCAGGTCTGGGACTCGAACTACAGTTGGCCATGTGGGAGTCCAGCACACTAACCACCACACCACCTCCTGACCCTGGGATTTTCTTCCTTTTAAGGCAGAATAATATTCAGTGCTGTGGATAGACAATGTTTTATCTGTTCATCCATGGATAGATTCCCATTACCTCTTGTATCATTCCTCAGCCTGTGTTTGTAGTCAATTGCTAACAACATCATCTGTCTCTGCTACCATCACCAGGTCTGTTGGGTGCATGCCCACAGCTGCCACTGTGCTGCACTTGAGTTTTCCAACTCCCTTCCTGGGATGACATGGAGTGCCCAACATATGCTCACTGTGGGGACAGTGACAGTATGAGCTATCAGCACTTATTAGTTTTTACAAAAAGATTCTGAGGAGCAGCTCACCCACAGATGATCATGGCTGACCTCATATTAGAGAATGTGATGGGTCAGACCCTCTTCCATTCCACAGCCTCTGGGGCCATCAAGGCTGGTACGGATATCCCCAGCAGTCACAAAACTGCTATCTTCTCCCAGAACATGCTCTGCGGGCCGATGGACACCATAACCTCATCCTGCACTGCGGAATATTGGCTATTCCGCTCACAGGCAGGTCCCGTCATCCAAAGGTGTAGCTCTGTCTCAGTGCCTGTCCTGCTCTTCTCATGAGGTTTCCATTACACCATCCACTGGTCTGGCCCTCTTGGCTCTTGGCTTAAGGTTGCGTTAGCTATGCAGAGACCTTTGTTCTTTGGTATATTGAAGAAGTTACTTACTAAGTTCTTCACAAATATACAACTGGATTTATCACTTTTTTTTGGAGAGTTTTTTGCTATAGGGCGCATACGCTCGCCAGACAGACAGAGAGAGACAGAGAGATAGAAAGCAAGAAATCACCCCCAGGGGGGATGGCCATGCCGCAATCCCTTCTCCTCCATTCTCCTCTTGGGATCTTGAGCACGCACGCACACACGCCCGGTGTGAGTTTAAGCCACTAGGTCTGGGACTTCAACCGCAGTTGACTACGTGGGAGTCCAGCAGCATAGCCATTATGCTAACTGCTAGTCCCTGGATTTATCACTTTTTAAAAAGTATAATTTGGGAGTGAAATTCATATAACACAATTAATCTTTTTTTTTTTTTTTGAGAGGTTTTTGCTATAGGGCACATGCACTCACCAGAAAGACAGAGACAGAGAGACAGAAAGCAAGAGATCACCTCCCAGGGAGAATGGCCATGCCACAATCCCTTCTCTCCCATTCTCCTCTTGGGATCTTGGGCATGCATGCACACACACCTAGCATGAGTTTAAGCCACCAGGTCCAGGACTCGAACCGTTGTCAACCACATAGGAATCCAGTGATGCAGACATTACGCCATCTGCTGGTCCCACGCAATTAATCATTTTAAAATGAACAATTCACTGGCATTTATTGAGTTGTCAGAAAAATCAGGACGCATTTTTTGCATAAAAAATATAGAAAAAAAAATACGCCATGACTTTTCTGACAGCCTGATAGTACATTGGCAGTGTTGGGAGACCATTATCTCCCTTAGTTTCAAAACGTTGCCCTCTCTCCTCAGTCAAACCCCTGATCCGCTAAGCAGCTTCACTCCATTTGCCTCTCCTCCAGCCCCTGGCAACCACCAGTCTGCTTTCTGTTTATTGATTTACCTACTCTTCACATTTCGTGTCTTTGGAATCTTCTGTGTGGTCCTCCCTGTGAGGCTTATTTTACAGAGCACGTTTTCATGGTTTGGCCATGCTGTAGCACGTTTCAGCACTTCCATTTCTTTTTAGGGCTGAATCATGTTTTATTTTGTGAATTTAGTCATCAGCTGGTAGATAGTTGTGCTGTTTCCATCCTCAACTACTGGGAACGGAGCGTACATATATTCGTTCGAGTACCTGTTTTCAGTTTTTGAGGTATTAAGTATGGAACTGTGGGTCCTGCAATAATTGTACATTTAAGGTTTTGTTTTATTTTTTGTATTAGGTCATTGGGAAAGTCTTGATGTATTATTCTATGCAAAATTGCATCATGACTTTGCCAACGACCTGATATTTTCACTTTACTCACTGAAGAGAGACAGGAGAAAGAGAGAAAGTGAGAAATCACCTCTTGGGGATAGCCACACTGCAATCCCTTCTCCTCTTGGGCTTTTGGGCATCCACGCATATGTGCCTGGCATATTTTTCAAGTTACTGGGTCCAAGGACTCCAACCTCACAGCTAGCCATATGGGATCCAGCCATCCTAACCACCGTGCCACCAGCTGGCCCCATATATGCTTTTGAGGAGCCGCCAAACTGTTTTCCACAGGGGCTGTGGTACTATGTTCCCCAAGCAATGCATAAGGGTTCTAGTTCTTCACGTCCTCACATCCTCACCAACACTGATATTCTTAACTCTAGCCACCCTGCCAGGCATGAAATGACCACTCCTTGTGGCTTTGGTTTACATTTCCCTAATGACTAGTAAGTAAGTTGACCCATCCTGTCACATGCTTATTGATTGTCACGGGTTTATTGATTGACCATATCATCTTTGGAGAAATGTCTATTCAAGTCTTTTTGCCAATTTTTAGATTTTTTTTTTAATTAAGATGTTTTTGCTGGAGAGAGACAGAGACAGAGACAGTGAGAGGAAAAGTGAGAAATCACCCCCGCAGGGAGGATGGCCACCATTTCCGTCCCTTCTCCTCCTAGGATCTTGGGCTTACATGCACATGTGCCCAGCATGAGTTTCAAGCCACTGGCTCCAGGACTCGAACCGCAGTTGGCCATGTGGGAGTTCAGCGACATAACTGTTACACCATCTTCTGACCCCACAGGAATTCTTTATATATTCTGAGTGTTATGTGACTAGAGAAAGCCAGCCCCTAGAATAATCCAAGGTTTGAAAAGAAGGCCTAGAGGTGATTAAGCTAAGCAGACAGGAATGAGTCTCAACCTGACAAGAAGGTGGCTAGTTGTTCTCCTCATGTCTTGAGGGGTCAGACCCAGGGGACACTGTTGGCCTGAGGTGGTCCTGGGGCTTTACTGGAGTGTGTGCTAGGGCAGGCTGGTATTGTTTTCCTTGTATGGATGCCCAGCATGGGCTGGGGCCACTGGAGGATGTGACCAGGGCTGAGATATGGAAGGTGACACTTGGAAGACTGTGAGGTGAAGGACCAACCTGAGGTGCTAGGGTCAGAGAGATGACTGGTGACCCACATTTAATTTCTCAGCAGAGTTCCTTCCCCAGGAGTGATGGAATCCTGCAGGCTGGAGCTGGTGCTGCTGGTGGGGGTAGCATGGAGAGCAGAGCCTCCTGAGTCCCAGTGTCAGCCTCCAGGAAGTGAGCAGCCCACCCTGCTCCCTTCCCTACCCCAGAGCAGCATGGCCTTTAGCCCCAAGGTTAAGTCTTAGAGTTTCTGGGAAAGGGTGAGCATTTGTGCTCCTGGAAGAACCATTTGAAGTCAAGTCCTTGAGAGCTCTTGGTTCCTAGATGCAAAGGCGATGGGGACAGACCAGTCCTGACTGGGAGTGTATTATGTGAGGGGAGAGCCTCTGTATTCCATGGATGCTGTGCAGGGCTACATCCCAGCCCCTGCCTTCTGGAGCTCTCTTACCCATGGCTACCTTGGGCACAGGGAATGGCCCAGTCAGCTGGTCAGCTTCTGTCTCTGGCACTAGAGAAACGGACTCAGATTAAGAGCATCCCAGACCTGGAGGCCATGCCCAGCAGTCTGTTGATCCACCTCCTCTGTTGGCTTAGTTTAGAAGAGTCACTTCAAAGCCAACAAGCCCGCTGACATTGTGTTCCCTCTCAGCTATTAGCCTTCCACTTAGTCTGGCTGGGCTCTGCATGGCCACCCCCCATGAGTGCTGGGGCCGCATGTGGCCAGGTGCACTGTGCCAACATTGTGCAGTGCCTGCAATAGTGTTGGTGAGGTTATGCACAGGTCCTTTGCTGCTGGATGTCTGACCTCTCCTGCAGCCCCACTACTGGGTTGGTAAGAGACACTGAGTTGTCAGCAGCTATGTGGTCACCCCAACCTGCAGACTTGTACCTGTCCCCAACACCTCATTCTACCTAAGTAAGTGCTGGCTTTCTTGGTGACAGAAACGTGGGATCCTGGGCCTTCCCTGGCACCGAGGAGGCCTTCCCTCCTGAGGAGCTCTTAGATCCACGTGTATATAGAGGAGGCCACTGTGACTGGCCTCAGGGCAGGTGTGCCTGACTGTAGCAGGAGGAGAGGGCTCAGGGAGATGCAGGGCAGAGATCCAGAGTGTGGACATGGGCCCCAGGCCCTGCCTCTTCCAGAATCACTAGGACAAATGGCAGGGACTCAGAGTTTCTGGACCCCCTCCAGAGGGATCAGGGTACTCAAGCAGTTTCTGAGCCTCGTCATGCAGGGAAACCTGTCCTAAGGAAGCGAGGTTGGCCCCTGACCTGTGAGTGTACCTGGCTCTAGGAGGCCCTGACTTTCCCTTGCCCAGCGTCCCTGGGATCAGTCATCAGACAGCATCCTGCTTCTTGAGTGCTGTCTGGACAGTGTGAAAACCTTTGCCTGTCCTCAGGCAAGGGCCCAGGTAGTGACCTAGGCTCTAAGGGACCCCCATGGAGAGACCCCTGGGTCTGTCATCTTGCTCTGGACTTGTGAAGGTGGTCTCTGGCCTTCTGGCCTACCCCAGCAAATCTAGCAGTTGGCACCTCTCTCCAAGTGCTGGAGAAAGCACATGCTGTATGGGACCCAGGCCTCTTTGGGGGTATCTAACTGAGCCACTTTTCTTTGTCAACAGTCCCTGAGGTTCTGCAGCTCAGCGATGCCCTGCGGGATGATGTCCTGCCTGAACTTGGGGTACGGTTCGAAGACCATGAAGGTGGGTGAGCCCCTCACATTGTTGGATGAGGTGGGCAGGGGGGTGGGAAGGACGCTGGGAAGGTGAGTGCCACAGGAAGGAATCCTGGATCGGGCCAAAGGGCTGATGAATTTCGTATGTGTGGATAAAGAATCCAGATTGGCATGCCTACGTGGGTGTCCTTTCTGCCCTGAACGCTGCCCTTCGATGCTGGCTAACCTGTAGGGGCAGGGATTGCCTTGTGTAGTTTATCTTATTTGTAACCACATAAGATAAGTCCTGTTTGTTTCCATCTGGGACCTATCAGAGACATTTTTCTGCTAGGCACCATTTTTCCCTCTGGTAGTTAAGAAAACAAGCTTGCCTCAGCAGTTTGTCAATATATCTCACAGCTCACTGTGTGGGGTTCTTTCTCTTTTCTTTTTAAAATTTTGTTCGAGGGTGCTTGCACTCACTGGGGAGGGAGAGAGAGAAAGAGAAAGAGAAAGAAGGAAAATAAGAAAGGGACCACCCCCCCAAGGGGGATAGCTATACCTCAATCCCTTCTCCTCTTTTTGCCTCTGGATTTTTTACTTGTATATACACATGCCCAGTGTTTTTCTCAAGCCATTGTGCTACTGGCTGGACCCAACTATGTATGTATGTGTGCGTGTGCATGTGCGTGTGTGTGTGTGTGTGTGTGTGCATGCATGCATACATATATTATTTTTTTTAAGAGGGTTTTTTTGCTATAGGGCACATGTGCTTGCCAGACAGACAGAGAGGGACAGAGAAACAGAAAGCGAGAAATCACCCCCCAGGGGGGATGGCCATGCCGCAATCCCTTCTCCTCCATTCTCCTCTCAGGATCTTGGGCACGCACGCACACGCGCCCGGCGTGAGTTTAAGCCGCTGGGTCTGGGACTTAGGATGGCCATGCCACAATCCTTTCTACTCCATACTCCTCCTGGGATTTGGGGCATGCACACACATGTGGCTGGTGTGATTTTTCAAGTCACTGAGTCCAGGACTTGAACCACGGTCAGCCATGTGGAAATCCAGGACCTTAACTACTACACCACTTGCTGGCCCCCCAACTGTACTTTTATATTAAATAGAAAATTACTGTTTTTTTTTTTAAGTTTATTTATTTTAAGATTTTTATTTATTTATTTTTGTCATAGGGCACATGCACCTACTGGTGAAACAGTGACAGAGAGAGGGAAAGTGAGAAATTACCCACCAGGGGGAATGGCCATGCCACAATCCCTTCTCCTCCGTCTCATATTTGGGGCATTCATGCCCATGTGCCTGGCATGATTTTCAAATTGCCAGGTCCAGGAGTTGAACCTTGGTCAGCCATGTGGGAGTCCAGCACCTTAACCACCACATCAAATGTTTAACCATGAGAGAGAGCGATCCAGGGGCCACTCCCAGGAAATTCTTAATGCCAAAATCCACCCCAACCTCAGCCAGCCAGCCCCGATCACGGGCATACATGTACCTGGTATATACATGGAGACCGCGGGATGTGTCCCAAAGAGCAACTGTGTTGTGACTGCACCCCTGTGGCTGGCCGTAATTTTTAAATTTTTATGTGATCTACTTTAATTTCTAACTCCTGTTTGTCACAGTCCTCCCCTCATGATTATAATCACCGTCCTCTGGTTATACTTCACTGCTTCTATGGAGGTGGGTTGTGTTTGTTTGTTTTAAAGAATTACTTTATTTTGGGGCTGGCAGGTGGCTTGGTGGTTAAGGGTGCTGGACTCCCATGTGGCTGACTACGGTTCAAGTCCCGGATCTGGCGGCTTACTCTCTCTCTCTCTTTCTCTCTCTATCCCTCTCTGGTCAAATTGAAATAAATAAATGAATGAATAAATAAAGTTAATTTTTTAAATTACTTTATTTTATTTATTTATTTATTATTATTCAATTTGACCAGAGAAGGAAAAAGAGATGGGGAGAATGAGAAAGCAAGCCACCAGATCCAGAACGAGAACCACTGTTGGCCATGTGGGAGTCCAGCACCTTAGCCACCATGCCACCTACTGGCCCTTTGTTTTTTGTTTTTGTTTTTGTTTCTGTTTTTTTATTGTTAGAAGAGAGTGTTTGCACTCACCAAGCAGGGTAGGGGGCAGTGGAGAGAGAAAGCACCCACTGGGGAGTATGATCACACTGCAAATCCCTTCTGCATTTCTCCATCCTGTTGGGATCTGGGGCATGCATATGTGCCCAGCATGTTTTTCAAGCTGTCAGGACCAAAATTCCAACTATGGCTGGCCTTATGGGAGCTGGCTCCCTTAACCAGTAGGCTATGGGCTGGCTCATTTTTAATGTTTACCCGTTTGACCTACCTGAAATTAATCTTGTCTGTTGTTTTATGACTATGCAGTGGTGGTGGGTCCTCAGCCGGACCAGGCAGCCCAATGGGCTCTGGGCAAAGGGGGATTGGTTCAACAGAGAGGACAGATCATGGAGCTCCAGCAGTATCTCACAGACTGTTTGCTTTTCAGGACTGCCGACAGTGGTCAAATTGGTGGACAGAGATACCTTATTAAAAGAGAGAGAAGAAAAGAAAAGGGTTAGTAAAAATGAAATGAATTGAGCTTATTTTTGTTTGTTTTCATAATTATTTCACAACTATTTTCACATTAACTTCACATTTTACTTAAAGGCCCTATTATGATGTATACAATATATTTTGTAAAAAGAAAATGAATTGAACTTGGTATTTGTTGAAAATGTAAAATCATTGAGGAGTTTATGTAGTTTATTATTTTAAGAACTTATGTTTGCACTTCTATTAAAATCCTAGTATCTATAATGGGGCAGAAAGAAAAATTAACTAGTTAGATAACTACTTAAAAATTTGGTAACTAAAAGAGAAGCATATATCTTCAAATGAAGTGTCTCTCAAAAAAAAAAAATGATTCCCGAGACCAGCAGATGGCATAATGATTATGTTGCTGGACTCCCACATCGTTCGAGTCCTGGACCTGGTGACTTAAAACTCACGCTGGGCATGTGTGCGTGTATACCCAAAATCCCAAGAGGAGAATGGAGGAGAAGGGATTGTAGCATGGCCATTTCCCCCTTGTGGGGGGGTTAGTGATTTCTTGCTTTCTGTCTCTCTGTCTCTCTCTGGCAAGCATACATGCCCCATAACAAAAATCTTTCTCTCAAAAAAAAATTTTTTTTCCCTCCATTTAAGTAAAAATTAGCCACTTTGGGGCTGGCAGGTGGCATGGTGGTTTGGGCACTGGACTCCCACATGACTGACTGCAGTTCAAGTCTTGGACCTGGTAGCTTGCTTTCTCACTTTCTCTTGTTCTCTGTCTCTGATGAGTACACGTGGCTTGTAGTAAATTTTAAAAATGATAATAAATAAAATTAAATACTTCTTTTTTTAAAAAAATTAGTCACTTCTAGCAAACTGTGACGTTGGCCTGTTTTGGCACTACCTTATTCTTACCGGTATGCAGTGTGTCACAGACGTCTGTCTGCTGTCTGGTGCTGCCCCTGCCCCCAACACTCTGAAGCCAGGACTTTGGCCAGGGAATCAGGACCCCAGGGATTGGGGCATTTGGTGCACCCCAGGATGCCGGTGTCACACAGGAAGCTGTGAGGCAGGCACTATGGGAGGTGGGCCATGGGGTGAAGGGCCCCAAGAGGCTTTGAGGGGGCCACCATAAAGAGAGAGTTTGACAGGGTAACTCTCAGGAAGGGGGCCTTTGGGAGGACCTCTAAGAGAAATTGACAGGCTGGGTTATCAATAAATCAGACATGGGGAGCCAGCAAAAAGTAATCAAGAATGTTGCCCCAGACCCTAGGCTGGCACCAAAGTGAGGGCTCAGACAGGGAGGCAAGTGTGGGCTGGCCAAGTTTGCAGAGCCTTGGGGGAACATCTGAGAGGAGCTGCCCTGGGTGAGAGCAGCAAGCCACAACTCCATACGGAGTTACAGACTTCTGTAAAAAGAGAAAAGAACCACAGTCCCCGTGAGGAGGTTCAAAGGTTCAGGGGGCTTGCTGGTTTGACCTTTCCACCAAGTCCCCCCTCCCAAACCTGTGTTTCCTGCTATAGTCTTGTCACATGGTGACTTGAGGCTGGCTGTCACTTCCAGTACTTCCTGCTTCCTGACCAAGGGTGTCTTATCTGGACAAACCATTTGAGGAGGCACTGTCTCCCAGGGCCACAGTGTTGCCGTTGTGGGAGAGGATCCCCAGTCCCGCCTCTCCCCTGGGACATCCCTACCACAAGCATATAGACACATCCTGCTTTTAAAGGGGAAAAGGAGAGATCACAAGTGCCACTTGTCCCTTGTCCCTCCACCTCAGCCCTTTCTGTCAGCCTGCTTTCTGCACTCACTCTGGGCACATCCAGAGGTGTGTCTCTTTCTCTCTTTCTCTCTCTTTCTGCCTCTCAGAAGCTATTGGCTCTGTCAGCCCAGCCTCCTCCTGGGTCTCTGGGATCCTCACACCTTCCTGCCTCCTCTTCCCCAGCATCCTAGCCCTTACCCTCCCAAGTGACCTCATCCAGTCCCACTGCTTCTCTCCCCTGACCCCCGGATCCTCTGCACTGACTCCTACCTGACAGCTCCACTTGGCAAGGAAGCATCTGAAACCCAAGATGGGAGCTCATGATTTCCAACTTCCCAAACCTGTTCCTCCCTCCTGCTCTAAAGGGCTTGCCTCTTTTTTATTTTTAATTATTTATTTAATTTGCTCATTCATTTGTCTTATTTTGACCAGAGAGAGACAGAGAGAGAGAGAGAAAGTGAGAAAGAAAGCCCCATCACCTCCAGGACTCGAACTGTGGTCAGCCATGTGGGAGTGTCTAGCACCTTAATCACCACGCTACCTGCTGATCTCCCAAGGGTTTGCCTCTTCATGCAGTTGTTCAAGCCATGTCCTCCTCTGGCAGCTTTGGGCCTACCCTCACCCAGCCCCAACTGAGGGCTCCCCTTTCCTATGCCTGGGTTGGGCCATTGTAGACCCTGATGGGAATGGTGCCCCTGACACCAGCTGGCCTCTGCCCTCCTCTCCCCATCCTACCTGGGGTTCTTTCTCCTTCCAAGGCACCCATAGCCTGCTCTAGATCAGTCCTCACAGAGCTCTTTGATCTCCAGGCTGGGCTCCTCGTCCTGGCCTGTTTCTTCCTATTAGTTGTGTTGAATCTTTATTTTTTTCGTTTGTTGTTTGTTTTTGCTATAGGGCTCATGCACTTGCCAGACAGAGAAAAAGAGGGAAAGTGAGAAATCATTGCCACATTTTAGTCCCATTTCTTCCAATCTCCTCTCAGGATTTTGTGCACGCATATATATGCACCTGGCATGATTTCCAGTCTGCCGTATCTAGGACTTGAACTGCAGTTGGCCATGTGGGAATCCAGCACCTTAACTGCTAAACTATGCCAACTGCTGACCCCTGTGCTGAATCTTCTTTTTTTTCTTTTTTTTTTTTTTTAAGAATTATTTATTGGGGCCAGCAGTTGGCGTAATAGCTATGTCGCTGGACTCCCACGTAGTCGACTGCGGTTCGCATCCTGGACCCCGTGGCTTAAAACTCACGCCGGGCGCATGAGCGTGCCTGCCCGAGATCCCGAGAGGAGAATGGAGAAGTGATTGCGGTGTGACTATCCCCCCTGGGGGGTGATTTCTCGCTTTCTGTCTCTCTGTCTGTCTCTGTCTGGCGAGTGCACGCGTCCTATAGCAAAAACCTCTCAAAAAAAAATATATATATATATATATATATTAAAAAAAAGAATTATTTATTTATTTTGGGGCCAGCAGGTAGTGTGGTAGTTAAGAGCACTAGACTCCCACATGGCCAACTACAGTTCAAGTCCCAGACCTGGCAGCTTGCTTTCTCATTTTCTCTCTCTCTCTCTCTCTCTCACTCAATGACTCTCTGTCCCTCTCTGGTCAAATCAGAACAAATAAATAAAGTTAAATAAAATAATTATTTTTTAAAAAAAAGAATTATTGGAACTAGCAGTTGGCATGTTAGTTAAGGGTGCTGAACTCCCACATGGCCGACCGTGGTTCGAATCCTGGACCTGACAACTTGCTTTTTCACTTTGACCCCCTCTCTCTTGTACACTCACTCACTCTGTTCCTCTCTGGTCAAATTAAAATAAGTAAATAAAGTTAAATAAAGTAATTTTTTTTTTGGAGAGGTTTTCACTATAGGGCGTGTGCACTCACCAGACAGACAGAGAGAGACAGAGAGACAAAAAGCGAGAAATCACCCCCCAGGAGGGATGGTCACGCTGCAATCCCTTCTCCTCTATTCTCCTCTCGGGATCTCGGGCAGGCACACTCATGTGCCCGGCGTGAGTTTTAAGCCACCGGGTCCGGGACGCAAACCGCGGTCGACTCCGTGGGAGTCCAGCAACATAGCCATTACGTCAACTGCTGGTCTCAGCTATTATTTTTTAAAGAATTATTTTATTAAAATGTATTTATTTACTTTTTTTGTTTGTTTGTTTAATTTGACCAGAGAGGGACAGAGCAAGTGAGTGAGCAAGAGAGAGGAGAGAGACAGAAAGTGAGAAAGCAAGCCACCAGGTCCGGTACTTGAACTGTGGTCAGTCATGTGGGAGTCCAGCACCCTCCGTGCTACCTGCTGGCCCCTATTTGTTACTGTTTTTTAGTTTGACCAGAGAGAGATGGACTCGATGCCACAATCCTCCAGCCTCCATCGGTTTTTGCCATAGGGCAGGTGCCACCACAGCCTAGTTTGACCAGAGAAAGGCAGAAAGAAAAAGGGAAAGTAAGAAAACAAGCCTCCAGGTCTAGGACTTGAACACCGGTCAGCCATGTGAGAGTCCAGCACCTCAATCACCTGCTGGCCCCTATGCTGAATTACTTATTTTTTAAACATAAGTTATTTATTTTAATTTGACCACAGAGGGACAGAGCAAAAGAGAGAGAGAGCGAAAGTGAGAGAGAGAGAGAGGGAAAGTGAGAAAGCAAGCTGCCCGGTCTTGGACTCGAACTGTGGTTGGCCATGTGGGTGTCCAGTGCCCTTAACCACCATGCCACCTGCCAGCCCCAGATGTGCTGAATCCTTTAACATTGGTTCTGTCTCTTCACTGCCACACCCCTTGTGTCTGGAGTCAAGCCAGGCACCCAGAGGTCTCACTTGAGAATCACTCGGGAATGAGCGAAAGCCAGTCATGATAAGGACTCAGTTGTGTGTTCCTAAGCCAGGTCCCCCAGTCCATGGACTTGTGGTGGGCCAGGTCAGGGTGCAGGCCTCTAGGGCAGGCCTGGGGAGAGCAGCGGGGGCTTGTTAGGCTTGACCTCCCACCCCAAGAGACCCAAGGAACCCTTTTCATTGGACCCTGTGCTGCCTTCTCTAGGTTGAAGAAGAGAAGAGGAAGAAGAAAGAGGAGGCCGCCAGGAAAAAACAAGAACAAGAAGTAATGTGTCTTTGTTTTGGGTGAGGGGCTCTCCTGGGCAGAGCCCCTTGGCCCTGTGCTCCATGATTCTCTGTGCCTCTTTTGGGCTCAGCCAGAAACTTGCAAGGGACTCTTGCAAGAGGAGCTTTGCTCTCTGCCTCCACCTACCCGGGGAGCCAGGGATCCCCACAGCATGGGAGAGGCCTGGCTGAGGGAATGACGGGCCCTTTGATTGCTTATGAGCTCCAAGACAGACTTTGTAGACTGCTCCTATTGTGCTTGTGTTTAATAATCATCCCACTATTTCTATGCAAGAACATCTGGTTTCATTTTAAGTTGCCTTCCTCAAATTCCCTTCGGGTTGGCTTTCCCATTCCCCGGGACTCTATAGCTCTCTAAATTTGAGGGCTAAGAAACAACTTAGAGTTGGAGGGTCAAGCGTGCCTCTCAGTGGCTATAACTGTGTTTCATGTGTTCCAGGCGGCCAAGCTGGCCAAGATGAAGATTCCACCCAGTGAGATGTTCCTGTCAGAAAGTGACAAGTATTCCAAGTTTGATGAAAATGTAAGCATTCCCTGTATTAGACCACATTAAATTGGGAGGACAGGAATTTTCCATCTCAGACAAGTGGGTTTTCTGTTTGGAGTACAATTTTAAGGAAAGTTGGGGTCATCAGCACCAGTTTTAGGCCCAGGGCCTTCTGCCCTGAGTGCCGAGACCCTCCTCACAGCCAGTCCAGTTGAGCAAACCCGTCCATAGCCACCAAGTCCAGGTGGCAACTCAGCCCCAGTCTGTTAGCCTCGCCTGCTGTTCTTTAAGTGTTTGGACGTACTCTGTCTGAGCTGGCCGCCCTGGTGATGAGAATGGAGTTCCTCACCCCAGGCTCTGTTCACTTCCCTCCTGCTTTCCACTGCTGGGCCCAGAACAGCCTGGTGACGAAACACCCAAGCAAGAGGATGTGGACGCTTGTTCCCCATCCAGACATGGCTGCATCAGGGAGATGAGCACTCTGAGAAACAGATCGAGGAAAGAGAAGTTAGGGCCCCTGGGTTCCCACGTAGGGTAGAGAGACTGACAGTGGTGTGCATCTCTCTGTTCCAGGGTCTTCCCACACATGACACAGAAGGCAAAGAACTGAGCAAAGGACAAACTAAGAAGCTGAAGAAGCTATTCGAAGTTCAGGAGAAGCTCTACAAAGAGTATTTGCAGATGGTTCAGAACGGAAGCTTCCAGTAAAGAGGCACAGGTGGACTTTCTGAACTAAGCCTCCATGGGCTCATGGCTTCTCTCTGCCTCTGTGACTGCACCCCAAGGCTCCGGTCATGTTTACAGTCATCTTCCAGTCCTCAGTTAAGAATTGTGTCGTGCAGGTTCATCATTGGCTCTGCGCCGTTCAAAATCATCATTGGCTCTGAGACGTCAAAAATAAATTTTTCTTAACAGTGAGACCCATGTCACCTAATCTGCCATCACCCTGCACGCTCAGCACTGGATGGGGCTCGGCGCCGGCGCAGGCTGCTTGATCAGCAGGTCCCAACTTAGGTGCTCGGGTCAGTTGAGCCGCTTCAGCCAACTGAGGAATTTCTCCCCATGCTGATGGCTATCGGCTAATCTGTGGTGTGTGGGTGCATTTGGAGGTATTTGAGTAAGAAAAAGACAGGCTCAGACTGGCAGAACCCACTGAGCTCCAAACAAAGGCAGCTCAGTCTGCCCCTCTGGTTCTGATGAATAAACGCACTGCAAGTTTTCCTGGAGCAATTCACCATTTGGGCAGCAGCAAAGCGGGTGGCTCAGCAGGGCGGGGCCTGGCGAGCTGCCCAGGACTGCTGTTCACAGCAGTGAGGCCAGGATCTGCATGGCTATACTTGAAGGGGCAGTCTCAACACAGCAGGAGGGCGGTTGGTCACCGACTCACCGTGTTGGGGCGCATGTCCTCGCCACCCTGCCCACGAACATGTTCACTGGGCTAAGAATCACATCCCCAAAGGCAAGTGTATGTATGTAACCATCCTTGATGGAGGAAGGTGTATGCAGAAGCCAGAATCTGCCCTAGGCCCACAAGAGCAGGCGCCAGGCCAGATCCATCAGGACAAAAGCAGCTGTCAGTGGTGGAGACAGGCAGGTTGGGAAAAGCTGTCCAGTTCTCATGTATTGTTGAAGAGCACCCTGAGTGTGGGCAGTGCGACGGTGTCTGACTGTAGGTGCACTAGTCCTTCACCCTGGTGATCTCGCTCTGTGGTGCACTGTCCTGAGTGCCCTGTGGAGGCCTCGGAAGTATAGATGCCTCAGAACCAGCCTGCCTGCCCGTCAGTGGAGTGCTTGGGCAAGTGGCTATAAATCGATAGGTCGATCATCGGGTATTGACCTGTTTGTCTTCTGAACCTTGTCAGTGTTTTACGCATTAAAATAACTGGGCTGGCCTCATGGCCTAATGATTTAGGGAGCTGCATCCTACATGACTGTCTGCATGTTTTGTGTCCGGGACCCAGTATCTTGAAAAATATGTAATGGGGACCTGCAGCTGGTATGGTGGTTAAGGCACTAGACACCCACATGGCCAACCATAGTTTCAGTCCTGGACCTGGCAGCTTGAAAGTCACACTGGGCACGTGTGCATACATTGCCAAAATCCTGAGAAAAGAATGGGGGAGAAGGGATTGTAGCGTGGCCATCCCTCCAGGGGTGATTTCTCACTTGCCCTCTGTCTGGCAAGCATATGTGCCCTATGGCAGAAACCTGAAAAAGAAAAGCACGCTGGGAGCGAACCAGCAGGTGGCTCGGTAGTTAAGGCACAGGCTCGCACATGGCCAACTACATGATTTTAGTGCCAGACCCGGTGACTTGGGCATGTGGGACATGTGTGCATGTATGCCCCAAATCCCAAAGGGAGGTTGGAGAAGGCATTACAGTGTGACCATCCTCCTAGGGGAGGATTTCTCACTCCTCCCTTCTCTCTCTCTGTCTCTGGCAAGTGTGCATGCCCTATAGCAAAACAGAAAAAAAAGAGCCAGCAGGTGGTTTGGTGGTTGGGGTGCTGGACTCCCACATGGCTGATTGTGGGTCAAGTCGTGGACCTGGTGACTGGTTTTCTCACTTTTCCTCTCTCTCTCTCTCCCCACCTCTGGTGAGCACATGCCCTAGAGCAAAATTTTAAAAATAATAATAATAAAATTTTAAAAAGAAAAAGACACTGGGCACATGTGTGTGCCCCAAATCCTAATAGATTGGAGAAAAAGGAATTGAGGCAATGAGCACACCCCATTAGAGGCCACTCCCCCCACACGCTGTCTCCGTCTTTCTCTGCCCTGTGGCAGATTAAAAAACAAACACCTGGGCCTGGTGGCTTGCTTTCTCACTTTCTCTCTGGTCAAATTAAAAAATAATAATTAAATTAAAAAAAAAAAAACATTAAACAAATGAGAGAAAACATCCCCGAAATGAAGTAAGACAAACTTGCTCCAGTTATCTGTCCTTTTTTATCATCGGGTCATTCCAAAACTTTTTGGCAGAATACAGCCATGATCCCCCACTACTGACTCATGGTTCTAGGTTACCTGGGTTCAGATGGGCGCTTCTCAGGTCCTACAGGATTGCAGCCATTCAGAGTTTTGCACGAGCAGCCTAGGCTGAGGTTGCTTGGGCCCCTCACTGTTTTTTCGTTTTTCTCTATAGGACATGTGTGTTCATTGGAGACAGACAGAAAGAGAGAAAGCATCCCTCAGAGGGAGTGTCCACACCAACGTCCCTTCTCCATTCTCATCTCAGGATATGGAGCATGCATGCACACATACCTGATGGGATTTTCAAGCTGCTAGCTTTAAAAAAAAAATTATTTAACTTTATTATTTTAATATTTCCAGAGAGAGAGAAAGAGAGAGAGAGGGAAAGTGAGAAAGCAAACCTCCAGGTCCAGGACTCGAACCACAGTTGGCCATGTGGGAATCTGGCACCCTTAACCACCATGCCACCTGCCTGCCCCAACCTACCAGCTTGAGTCTCAAACTGCTGAGTTGGCTATGTGGGATCTAGCCTTCTTCACTTCCATACCCCTGCTGTCTTTGTGTGGTCTCTCAAGCCTGAGATCCCTGTGCCTTCCAAGCAGCCCCAAAAGGAATGGTCTCGGACCCCCTCCTCTAGTGGTGGCAGCAGGAGGGGGTGCCGTGATTGTGAGGAGGCATCCAGTTTTCATGGAGGCTGGAGGGAGTATGTGGGGAGCCAGGTTGTAGCCTCTGGCTTCATGCTACCATTCAAGGTGATTCTGGGCTGGTTTCCTGCCTGGGGTCTCCACTCTGATGAGTGCCCACTTTCTGGCGTTCCTTCCACCCTGCCCTGCCCTCATTTCTCAGCTCTCCCCAGGGCTGTCCACATCTTGATACCCAGACTCATAGAGCCAAGAACCAGGGCAGTAGGCTGGGTAGACCCTGCACTGGGCCTCCCCACACTCGCAAGCTGTAACAGATTCTTTTGGAACAAAATGGGGTAGAAACATTTCTTGTGTGATACTAATCTGGTGATCAAAAGCATTTCTTTAGAGTGCATGAACGCTCTCTTCAGCTTTAGGTGCTAGATTTATGTCTTCCTGTTTTCCCCAGAGAGATACCTTTGGTGTTTATTATAAAAACATCCCATGTAAACAAGACCAGCCACGGTGGCACAGTGTTAACACAATACTCCCCAATAGGAAAGTCACAAGTTCTTGTCCTCCCATGCTGGTGATCTGGGCTGGCTGAGACGGGTTGTATCTCAATGTGAAGACCTTATGGGGGGAGGGGGGTGTCTCTTTCTCTGATAGAGGAAATAAATAAACTTAAACGTGGGGCTAGCAAATGGCATAGTGGTTACATCGCTGGATTCCCACATGGCTGACCATGGTTTTGAGTCCCGGACCTGGTGGCACATGTGAACATGTGCCCAAAATCCCAGGAGGAGAATGGAGGAGAAGGGATGTGACATATCTGCAGAAGGAAGGAGTCTAAAAGACTGTACCCCAACTGTTACCGGGGTTCTGAGAGGCGAAGCTACAGGGCCTTCCAGTTTCTACTTTATTTTGGTCATTTTCTATATTTTCCCATTAATTTTATTGGGTTTTTGCCTTAAGGCATGTGTACTCACCAGAAAGAGAGACAAAGACAGTGAGAGAGAAAGTGAGAAATCAGCCCCTCAGGAGAGATGGCCACACTGCAACTCCTCCTCCATTCTCCTCTTGGGATCTTGGGCACGCACGTACACATGCCCAGCATGAATTTAAGCCACTGAGTCCAGGACTTGAACTGCAGTTGACTACACGGGAGTCCAACGGCATAGCCACTACACCAGCTGTTGGTCCCTGGTATAGCCACTTCTTAGCTGTGGGTCTGCTGGGAGTTTTGTTTCCCTGTGTAGAATGGAGACCATGATACCTGCCTGTAGCCTCTGCCAGACCAAGGCATTGCCATTGTCAGTAACACCAGGTAACTTGGCACAGATTGTTTTCCTAGGCACTAGGGATGTGAAGGGACAAATGGAATCAGTCTGTCCTCTGTAGCTGAGTTTCAGGATGACAGGAGGATGAGGTGTCAGGAGCAAAACCAGGACAGGGTGGCTCTTGGAGAAACCCCTTGAGCTCCAGGTGGTAGGAGACTGAGGAGGTGCAACAGGAGGCAAAGGATCAGCACAGAAGGGCTGTTGACAGGTATGCACCAGCCAGAGAGCAGCAGAGCTGGTTCTTAGAGGAGGTGCGCTGGAGATGAAACCCGCTAGGTGTCAAGGAGCCGCGGGGCCACTCTGGGGAGTTTGGATCCCAGCAATTCTCAGCCCCAGTTGCAGTATCTGCTCTATTCTGATTTCACTTGTGGGCAGTAGGGAGCTACAGAATGATACTAGCAGCCGGGCACATGGTCAGAGCTCACGGGCATGCTGGTGGACAGACGATGCGGTGGCAGGGAAGCCTGGTTAGGTTGCTGTGATCAAGAACCAAGGGCAAAAGCCAGCCAGGTGGTGTGGTGGTTGAGGTGGTCGGATCTCACATGGCCAGCTGAGCGATTCAAGTCCTAGGCCCAGAGGCTTGAAAAATCCTAAGGGGAAAATGGAGGAAGGAGGATTTCAATTTGGTCATTCCCCCAGGTGGTGGTTTCTCACTTTCCCCCTCTCTCTCTCCTCTCTCTCTCTCTCTCTCTCTGACTAGCACATTTACCCTGTAGCAAATTAAAAATAAATAATAAAAAAAAAACTAAAACTAAATTTTTAAAGACACAAGGGCAGCTTAGCTCATGGAGACAGGGGCTCTCCTGGCCAGTGGAGACTCATGAGCTGGTGCCTCTGCTGGGGGCAGAGGTCAGCTGGAAAAGATCGTGTCCACAGAGCACCTGGGAGGTACCAGTACAAGCTTCAGTGTCACAAAAGCTTACT